TTCGGAGATTGAATCTATGAATCCATGAGCAAGTCTAATTGCTACTGTAAAAGTTCTCTAAATGCGATTGAATCATGAAAAATATTCTGGCCAATGTAGACGATTGAATTTATCTGATGAAATCATGGAAATCCTGGAGAGCCAAGGTCACGACGTGCCCTTTGCTGCTATGCCGCTTTGCTCGATGAGTGGCGAATGTTTTGGATTGTTTTGAGTGTCAGAACTAAACCATACAATTTGGGGGCTCAATATTGGCGACCTGCATCGCTGTAGATCCCGCCTGGTTGAGAGACTCTCAAAAAGCCGGCACATGTTTGCAAACACTTCCAAAAGAGAGGAAAAATACTGTATCATACTGCATCTGAACAAACCGTTGGGAAGAAAGGACTGATTCTTGGGGCATATGCAAACCCTGGATATCTCCAACTATGAAACATATTACATGAATCCAGTAAATTAAACAAAACACATTGAAACAACACATCAAAATTAATGTGGACATTCTCACCGACCATAGTAATTTCTTCCTGGTATGTCAAACTTGCAATCAGGAGGATAATGAAATTGGCATCCTGTTTTCAAAGAAGTGCAACTTGCTCCAATTTTTTTGGCACCAAATGGGGTCCTGATGTTGCCACCCCAATGTGGCTTTGCTATGAGGATCATGAGGGTGTGTTCGCATATGGTGATTTTCATGGGGAAAATGATTTCCCAGCGAATTTTGGGTTCACTATTTTCAGACACACCCATATAATCTTCCCAATGAATTGTGGGTTCACTATTTTCAGACAAACCTGTTGGCCAAGGATTGTGCTATTTGCAATCTTTGGCCACAGCATGAGCTTCTGTGACAATGCGGGTATCTCCACTAGCGTGAAGAACTTCCCGCAGAGCAAAGGCGCACCGGTGCGATGTTTCCAGAACTTGGGCTTGTCTCCAGTTGCCCCAAACACACCTATTCCCTTGCCACCTTTGGGAATAGAATTATGATAAATTATGTGTATATATATATAATAGAAGAATAACTATATCATGTCAAATATTGAGTTTCATATACATACAAGTGAAATCGAGTGGATATCTGTTTTGAGTCAGAAAGCACAGTATCTCAATGAAATCGAAGATCGGGTTGACCGGATATCCTTCCCTTTGGGAGAGTGAGAGTGATGGGAAACTGGGGCCCCTGGGGCTTTGCAGAGTGCCACGAGCCAAGAGTGTCTAGACTTTATAAACTTTATGGTATCATCATTGAGTTCCAGTTCTTGGTTGTCACATGTTGTCACCTCATTCACCATGGATCCCACATGATCCCACTTTCCTTTGCAGCTGCATCAAAGCGTTGTAACATGCGAGGTCTGATAAACTCCGCCACCCCGGATCGACCCCACAAAATGGGAAGGAAGAAGCATGATCAGGTCTGATACACAGGATGTGTATTAAGATAGGAGTATATAGGAGTGATACATGTGATACCCTATATAATATATCTTATATATCCTATATATACCCAATAATCATCCCTCAAGTAGATTTCTCTCGGGTTGTAACATACCCATTGCCGCGGAGGCAGTGCCGTTGGGCTAATGAAAGCTATGGAAGGTCTCACTGCAGCCGTCATCAACACGGCCACTAGACCTGGTCATAGTCGATCTGAAAGACAAAACCCGCTCTCAACACGCTGCGTTCTTTTGGCACCCCATAACAAACCTGAAAGTGTCAATATTGGGTACTAAAGGACCTAGCGAATCTGAACAATGTCATATAACATGTCACATGTACTTTTGGTCAGGCTCAAGTGATTCTAAAGTTTCGATCTTGGCGGTGTCCATGGTTGGGGGTGCTGAATCTGGACTCGGACCCTTACCCTGGATCAAAGATATCAAAGGAACTTGGAGATTGCAGTGGACTGACAGGACTGACAGCACATCCTGGGAATTGGTCTATGAAAAGAGTCCCATCAGTCCATATCGCCCATTGGATTCAGAAATCCAGTGAAGGTCTGGGTCTGGCCGGATTCGGCCATTGTGAGGTTTTCTTCAGCTTTTGCAGCGATGCCCAGCTGAACTATTTTCCACTTTGGATCGCTGGCAGTACTTTGGGCACCGGCCTTTTTGCCGTGCCGCTGATCGCGATGACGGATAGTCCAGTGGAGGCCGGGGCCCCAAGGGATGATGCTGTTGAGCTTTTGGATGGACTTTGTAGAAGCTTTTTAGTTAGGCCGGACAGTTAGAATCTCAGAGCCATAGCTCAGAATCTATACAGTCACATAGCATGCAACATGTTCGAAATCTGCGTTTTCACCTCCTACTGTACCGTACATCATGTACGTCATTAAGGAATTGGTGACCAATGACCCCTAAGCTGATGACCTTCCTCTCCCGCTGCTAATGTGTGCTGAATCTTACAGCCCAGGAGGATGAGCACCGAGTCTCTTCGAATCTTGACATGGGCCTGCCTGGCCAGCAATGGGGGGGAACAGGAAACCACTGGAGTCACAAGCACGAGCCACTGATGACGTTCTGATCACCCGAGGAAATTTCGTTTCCTCACCGGAGCGCTTCTGGTTTACACGGCATTTTGTGGCATCGTGGTGTATTTAAAGGCCTACATTCTGCCAGTTGCTGTTGCCGCGACCTCAGAGATGTTGCTCACTTATCCGGTTCTGGGTGTTTCATTTTGACATATTTTGACTCAAGAAACATCAAGAAACATGAAGAACAACGAAACACACCAGCCACAACTCCCTTTTCAGCTCTTGGACTCTTGGATCTTTCATGCGCCACTGGCCGACCACTTCAGGTGGCAGTGCTGATGCCCCTGGGCCTCTTTCTGCTGACCATGGGAGGTTCTGCTAGTCCACGAGCTCAAAGCCTTCTGGACAACGGGCAGCACCTTGGCACAGTGGCCATGGCGGCCATGGCGCCCGCGTGGGATGATTTCCGAAAGGATCTTGTAACAGGTGCGATCACTATACATATTTGATCATATTTCTACAAGTCATGCAAACAATGGAGAATGGAACCTTCAAGTGTTACGCCATGTTACGCCACATCTGCAATGGGGCCACTTTCTCAAAGTCTTCTTCTACTATAGCTGGTTTCTTGGCTATTGCAGTTCCAAGTTTTCGGCTGAAGATTGGTGGTAGTAACATCAACGCTCATCTCTGAGGCAAAGGTCAGATCGTCCGAACCTCTCTGCTTGGGAGATGCTGTTGAGGGTCGATTTTTACCTTTTGTCCCTCGGCCGTGACCCACCGCTGGGAACATCCGTTCTTTAGCACCTGCGGCTTGGAGCTGGTGAAGATGCTCATGAACTTGACATGATCATGATCCTGGACATCCCAGGACATTTTGTTGGCAATCATCCAAGCCATCCAAGCTTTTGGTGGGTTTTTGGGAAGCTATTCTTTTGGTCCCGATTTTTGTCCCAGGTTCTATGTCTTCATCGCGGTCCAGGGAGCTGGTTTGCTGCTCTCGAACAACTTCAGCCAAATCGTGAAGGCGGTCTCCCACGATCCACATGCTTCCAGCGCAGGCCACCGGCCCAGTGCGATATGGTGCGATATGGTGCGGTGCCCCTGGTGAACGGGTGAACCAAGCTATCTTAGGCTATCTTGTGACTTTCGGAATGTTGAGATTCTTTGGTATGATTGGGTTTGATTGGGCATGTCTCAGAATTGGGCAGCGTTACAAGATGGAGTCACAGAATCACAGCATCTAGGACCAAATCCATGATTTTGCAGAGGGCAGGAGTGGGTTGATGGAGATGCTTGGGTAGTGTTTAACGGTTTATTCGCGCACCCATGTTTGATCGTCGAACCCCCATGGGTAGAGCCACTTTGGTTATAGTCAAAACATGTAAACCTCTGGGTACATAATTTATAAATATTTATAATGCATATGATATTAAATAGTATCATATACATACACAATGTATATGTGCTGTATATATAATTCAATATATGTATCTTCATTTTGCTGAGCAGGATACCTCACAATCTTCTCCATCTTCAACACCTGCGGCCGCATCTTTGTGGGTTTTGGCTCCGAAGCACTGACCTTTGCCTCACATGAAGTGGGTCTGAAAATGATGGAACATCCTGTATGGGGGAAAATACCACCAAGATTGGGGATATACTAAGATAGATATATATCCCTAAAAATATAGTAAATTTCATGGAGAAAATATTGGAAAATGATGAAGTAATGGATTCTTGGCTAGCCATATTTTCAGACAAACCCAAGTCTTGAGTCATTCAACCACAGGGTTTAGGACTTGGGTTCTTGATGCTTGGGTCCCCCGGCTGCGAAGATGGGAACTTGGGTCCAGAGCCTCCTGAGTTGGATTGAAACATGTTCCCTCCAAACCCCTGGTTCCACACCCAAAGAACACATCCAGACAATATCATATACTTGTCACCAGAGGATCAATGAAAACACTGGCTATACGCAGTGATTTTGACTTATGGTTTTCAGGATTTAGGGTTTTATATAATTTAGGGTTTAGGGTTTTAGGCTTAGGTTTAAGGGTTTCAGGGTTTACTGTAAGGGTTGTTTCTTTTTGAAAGTAAAACACTTTTCACTCTACGCAGGGATTTGAGCATGTCAAAGGATATGCGGGATTCGCTGCGGGCAAACCGGGGGTTTGCAGCGAACATGTTAAACCTCCATATTTTTCCCGCCAAATTGTTTATGAATCATCATGATTTTCATCATGTTCCTCCTTTTTTTAATGGCAAACATATGACATTCGCCTTCAATGCCGCAGAAATCTGGCTGATCAATGCCGCAAGGAAAGCACAGGTGAACCGCCCTTGGTTTTTAGCCATCTCTGCAACCTTGATGACGGTGGCCTTTTTGTTCCTTCATTTGGGCAAGGCCTCCAGATGTCCACCATTTCACGGTGTTGGGATGGAATGGCCGGCCAGTGGATCACCATAAGAACTTCCTTCCGGGTAGTGGTACTTCAAGCATTTGCCTCTCAGCTCCAAGAATTTCTCCAAGAGCTCAACGTCGCCATCGCAACAATGGCACCAGCAACAGTAGCCCTGCCGACTTGCAGAAATTGAGTCATGGATCCCTCTCCCAACTGTTGAAAAAACATCTTCCATCCACAGTCCATTTTCTTCGTTGATGCTGCTGTCAGTCTTTCCTCGCCTTCTCTGCCGGTCTGGTGGGTTTCGGCCTGGGCGGCAGCTTCGCGCTGCAAGCAGCCGCTGGGACTGGAGTTGCTGGAAACCAATGGGGATTTCTTAAGTGATCGGGGGATCCCCAAGTCACCATGGGTTTCAATCCCATGACTTAGGAAAACCTCACATGATCTCATGGAGGTGAAAATGGAAATCGTGGAGCGGTGTCTAAGGCACTTGCAGTGAGAATTTGAATCATTCACGTGGTGTTAAAACAGATGATGATCATGTCAAATCTACAAAGTTTGTTCTGGCATGTTTTCGACTGGGTTGTTTTTCTGTATACCTTTGTGATCCTTTGTGGATTGACCTAAAACATGCTGAAACGATGGGAAAGGGTGGATTTTGCCTCATGACACCAAGACATTACCCAGGTCCAACTTCTTCTCACATGGCCATTGGGGGATTTCTGACAGGTTGTGATTGAGGAAGTTTTTGGCCCGAAGGAGCCACATTGGGAGTGTCATGACAGAGTGAGTGAACCATCATGAACTCATATCTATCCATACATTTGAAAACTACAAGCTCGTTTTTCTGGAAATCAAATGGTATGAACATGATTATACCTGACGGCCGAATGCCAGTTCCAAAACCTGGCTTTGTCTCCCCAGATTTTGTGGTGCAGGAGATGCCGATCAAGTACAGCTGCTGCTTCTGCGCAGCGTGCATTGGATCTCTGGTTCTGAGTGATTTGCTGGCTGGCCTCCTCTATGATATGGCGGCGAAAGAACAAGGCAGGTGGCTCATGCTTGACACGCAGGAGTGTTGGCCCCCCCTACTTAGAAGAGTGGGTTTAAGACTTGACTCAGATCGCAGTTCATCTATGTTAATCTCACAAAGGGATACAAAGGGTACATAGTTCCAAACCCAATTGTTGGCTGGTAGGATATCTCGAATCTCAATCCATAGGTCCTGGGGTTGGACTGCCCAGAAAGAGTCCCAAAGATCCTAGCGAGGTGAGTGTGGACCCTTTCTTTCCCGTCACTGAACAAAAGATGCACTGACGGTGGGATGCTATATCTCGGACCATCATGGGTGCTTAGCCCGCTTGATAGTGTCACAACTACAATGTTCCTGTTAAACCAACCTGGTTTTGTAAAAAAAAAACCATGAAACTCAATGATCTTGGTGGGTGATGCCCATCCCAGACCCAACAGATGCATTGGGCGGACAGGTCAAACCATATGCCTGGGACCAAGTTGCTTTGGAGCCGCTTCGGCACAAGTTGTCAGGGTCAGAGTCGAGCAAGGGGATGATCAGCCTGTGGATTTAGAAAATGGCTGTGATAGGAGAGGGATGGACTGAGACATTTCCTGTTTAAAGTCTAAGAAAGATTGGTGGTGTTCGGTTAGAGTCAAGAATTTTGACAGTCGAAGAAACGGAACATGTTTTGCATGCATTTTGGAGCTAGAATCTCCCATTTGCGTGCCCACTTGGCTTTTGGCTTTTGGCTTTTGGCTTTGGCTTCACTTGGCTTCACTTGGCTTCACATGGCTTATGGCTTTTGGCTTTTGGTTTTGGTTTCACTTGGCTTTGGTTTTGGTCGTTCACTTCACTTGGCTCTTGGCGTTTGTTGGATTTCAGTATTGAAGTTTGAGTATACCATTTCATGTAATACATTGCATATATATTTCATGTAAACTGCACAAAAACTACAGACATAGAGTATAGGAGCTTGTATGCATGCTGTTGTAAGAAAATACCGAAACCATCAATAAGCAAAACCTAAAGAAACCCTAAACGACACGCTAAAGAAACCTTAAAGGAAACCCTAAAGAAACCCTAAACCACACCCTCAAGAACCCTAAAAGAAACCCTAAAAGAAAACCGAAATAAAACCCTAAAGGGACCCTAAATGAAGCCCTAGAGAAACTTTAAAAGAAACCCTAAAGAAATCCTAAACGACACCCTAAAGAAACCCTCAATGAAACCTGAAAGAAACCCTAAATGAAACCTTAAAGAAACCTTAAAAGAAACCCTAAAGAAACCCTAAACGACACAATGAAACCCTAAAGAAACCCTAAAGAAACCCTAAATGAAACCCTAAACCTCAAGAACCCTAGAAGAAACCCTAAAGAATCTTTGAAACCACAGAAAGATCATTGAAGACGATCAAAAAAGCTATGAAAACCATCCAGACATCGTTGAAAACCATGGGAAAATGGGTGAAAACTAAAATGTTGCAAGTATCGTGCAAATTTACGATTTTAGCTACCCAAATTTGCAACTTCAGCTCCGAAATGCTGCAAATAGCATGCAAAATGAAGAAACATTTTAGTTCAAAAACGCAGCAAATAGCACGCAAATCAGAGAGATTTTAGCTCCAAAATGCAACAAATAGCGTGCAAATCAGAGATTTCAGCTCCAAAATGCAGCAAATAGCACGCAAATCAGAGATTTTAGCCCCAAAATATAGCAAATAGCAAGGAAAACTGCCCCGTACTGAAAAACAACAAAAAATCCTCAAACAAAAACAACAAAATCCTTAAAAAATCATCACCCGTTTTAGTCAAATATGTGCTTTAAAAAACATAACATCTGTAGTGTGCCATTATGTATTATGGATTGCACGCTACAACAGTCTAAACTCATATAAATTACAGTCATATTATATTGGAAAATATATTAATATACTTTTTATATCTTTTTATTGTATAATTCCGAATCTCCAATTATAATATTACATATGATTCACTATTCTATATATATATATATATATTATATAATAGTCAGTATTAATAATTTGACAATTACCATAGACCAAATCATATGGTCTTTGGTGTTTGGTTTATAATAGTTGGACACTTATGTACTCGCCGGTAATTTATGGTAATTTAACATAGTAACATAGCTATGGAACATGGTGGAACATATAAGTTAGATTGCCAGAGGGTATATCAACATTAATCACCCGTGATCACCATTAGTATAAAACCATAGAAAACCATCAATCACCATTAAAATTGTAAAACCATGGAATCACCATTATAAACCCATCATTCACCCATTATTAACGACCATTAACATGTATTAACCCATTGTCGAACCATTATTGAACCATTGGCGTTGAGGTCACCTTTACGGTGACGGCCTGTAGCAACATCCTGGCAGTGCTGGCCATCGTTGCGGTGGCCATTCGTTCGCGGGACGTGTTGCTTGGGTGGAGCCTGGGGAAAGGGCGGGGTCGGCATCTGTGATGACATGGGAAATACCACATTTCATCGACATTTGAATGGATAATTTTATGATCAGCAATTTTTGTCAATTTTGAACATTGAGTCGACATTTGAATGGGTTTCTTTCAATGATCAATCGTTGATTTTCTCCGGAATGCCCGATTGAATGACCATTAAACAATGGGAAAATGAATGATCATCGGATGGACTGGGGTTCCAAATCTTTTGACACCATCATGTTGTTCATGTGGGGATAGTGCTTCATCGGTTTAGCAAGTGTGGCTGATTTCTGAAGCAGCATCTGCGCATGGCTCATGATCTCTCATGTCTAAATAGCTGATGATAGCTGATCATAGCTAATTGCAGCTGATTGCAGCTGATACCCAGGTATTGGATTCTGAATGGGAGTCCACGTCCTGTCTTAACTGAAGCAGCCCGCCTCTGATGGCGAAAAATACTAGGATCGGGGGGGTGGTCGGACTGCATGTTTCTTAGCAAGATCCAAAGGTACTGCAAAGTATGTACATACACACACACACTAAAGATCACTAAAGACTATTGGCAATCAGCAATTTGAGATGTAAAACGCCACAGAGTCTTGTAGCAGAGAAACTGTGGGACCTAGGGAACAATTGTAACCGTAACCATCAATTTGGAGATTTCTATCGGAACTGTTGAATGTTTGAATCGAACACAGTTTCTTCCGAGCCATGATACATGTCCAGTCACGATTCCCAGAACTGTTCTGAAATTGCAATACTTCCCCAGGCTCAAGTCAAGAATGGTAGCCACTTTTAGCTGAAACGACAAGACATCGCACACCTTGATGCCATGATATTTTGGCATGGGTTTCCTTGCTGGTAGAACAGTAAAACGGACATATTTCACAGAGAAACTGTTGGGTCATCAATCTCACACGCAGAAATCTTTTGTTGGATTGACTTTCACTGGACATTTGTTTATATTCACAATATCATCGCAATGAACAGCAGGTCGCCATGCAGTCAGCTTAATCACTGCTGACATCCAACAAACACAACTCGCAACGCACGGCCACGAGTCACTACTCGTCACCCAGAGGTGCCGCCCGCGTCTCAGCAGCGGAGCGGGGCGGGCGTGAACCAAGGGCTGCTTGGGGATGCAGGCCAAGGATGATACAATGGGCATGACAATCACTGATACCCTCCATAACTCGGGATATAATCCGTAGAACTATGGTTGTAGAGTTATATATCTATGATATATCTATGATTATGTATGTATTTATAATATTATATCCACCTACAACTGGAACTGCACCCCCAAGTAGTGCATGATGTTGAATGCAGGGATGACTCTGAACACCATAATTATATAGTCACTACTCGTCACTTCACCATGACACTTATTCTGCAAGCGACCATGCAGACCTCTGCAGCTTCGGAAAAGGTGAACTTTGATGAAACAGATCGACATGCAGCAGACTGCCTAGAGCATCATTCCGGTGAAATCAAACACAAGAATCCCATGAGTGTCTACGTAGATGGAAACATTTTTTTTTTTGAAAAATCTGTTTTTAATCTCAACAAAGCTAAAGCTTTGGGGTGGGTCAACTGGGCATCAGGCCGCCTAGGCCCATGCGGAGTTGATTGCAGCAGCGCTGTGTCTGAGCTTTTGGAGTCTGGAGGGAAGCCGGGAACCCCCTTAAGATATGGACAGGGCCCAGAAAAAATCACGGTCAATCACTGTGGGGACGGATCAAGACCTATGATTTTCCATCAATTTGGGATCACCAGGCTACCGGGTTTTGACCCATACCGCCATACCCCGCAGATATCCAGGTAAACCTTGTCCTTTGCAACTCATATGAACCATTGACAATCGTCTTGTTGCTTGGTTATCATAGATGCACCTAATTTGATGATATTCAATAGGGATAGGCAGGCCTACAGTATCAGTCAACCAGTCTCATTATGTCATTGTGATTCATTCTTGGCATAACGGGATGGGATAGGGGCATGGCTTGGCATAGCTATCATAACTCAGATGTTGCCCAATGCCACTCATCCCAGTTTCAGGGAGATTCGAATGGTCACTGCTAAGGTTCATGGACGCCAACAACTGCCATAACTTCACGACGCCCAAAGTGAGCTCCGCTCCGCGCCGTGAGGCGTGCATTAACGTGCGGTGCTATCAGGGAATGGTATGGAATGGTCTGTTCAGAAAAACATAATAGCACATGATAGAACTATAAATGATAATATACAATCACAATCCATACTAATAGTATATGCTGATGATTACAACACGAATTCCATGTTGAAAACTCTGCTACAAGCTCGACTGGCAGCGATGGACCATCATGGATTGCAGGAGATCAAACATGGAGCCCGGATCACAAGCCTCACGGTGAATTTGGTGGCGTGCCGGACATGTTTGCAGAACGAACCTGGAAACATGATGGGCAGTGACAGGGGCAGCGGGGATCGTGAAGCTGCTTTCTGGATTCGATTCTTACTGTATTTATCTATATTTTATTTATTTATTTTTTGGTTCCCATACATCCTAGTCATCTTGTGTGTGTCAGGGTGTTTGTTTGGAGGGCTGAACTTGTACTTTGCATTTCGATATTTGTTCAAAGCTTCACATCTGCCGAAGCAGGATCAGACATCTTTAGTCAGCAGTCGACTAAATGTTCACGCAAGACAACCAGCAACCAGCTTGACCTCCGACATGTTTTTCATCCTCACTCAACCATGACCGTACATGATTATTAATTAACAAATGCATCCAAATGCGTGTTTTATCGCAGCTTGTGAAGTGTTATAACCTGGGAACATGTTGGAACTGGTGCTCCAACGGACTCCAACATGATGCAACGATGGATTGTTTTTCAACACGGCACACTTTCCAGGCGACTTATCAGCAGTGTTCCAACGATTTTGGCTACAGCGACACGCACGCGCCACGACGGGTGCTCACCAAGCTGTCCAAAGGCAGTGGATCATTCCTGGGGTGCATTGATTGGATACCCCCCAGATTGCAGAAACCAATGATCGGGTACAAATTATATCAAATTATAATCAATTATACATACCGCTTCATCACTGCAATAGAATTTCGAGTCGAGATGTTCACTTTGAGAGTTAGCTACGTTAATATATGCAAACAGCCCAAAAATTACCAAAGTATCTCATCTATTTGCATTGCCCCAAGGGGCGACAGTACATGTTATTTCACGATCTTGAAGCAAATAGATGCACATAGTATGAGGTGCATGATGGTGCATGAGGCGAATGAGAAGCCTTTCAAGGCGAATTCTTCCATGGAGCATTCATTTGGGTGGTGATTTGGTCAAAAGTTGGCCACCCCTTTTGATGAAAATAGTGGACCCAAAAAAGAGCACTGTTTGCATAGTTTGAAAGCAGCAGCCGTTCATCTGAAATGATCCTCCTGAACTACGACCACGTCGTTCAGCTACCTTTTTCCTCTTGTAATCATTTAATCCTTTTTATGAACAACCCTGCCTGGAAGATCCTGGAAGGTGTGTACAATGGCAACTACGACAATGCAGAGCACGACTACATATGCCGAGCAACTCTGCTGAATTGGCCATCCAGAGATTCCGATTCCCTTTCCTCCCTGGATCGGCAGAAGTCAACAAGCAGCATCGTTGGATGATGTTAGATGGTTGGGGCCTGAATTTACTCTTCTTTTTTTGTATGGTTCTGACAACCACATTTGCCTATATAAAGCCAACGATGAACAATCAGTGTGATACTCCAACTCGAATCTTGCTATTTGGGGATTATTTGTTGATTATTTGAAATTGTGTTGTTTTCGGGGACTATCAATGATCATCGCAATCCCCCGTACTGATACTTGTGATGATAACATTGATGATAGCATTGATGACAAATTGATGACAAATTGATGACAAATTGATGACAAATTGATGACAAATTGATGACAAATTGATGACAAATTGATGACAAATTGATGATAAATTGATGATGATGATGATGATGATGATGGATGATGATGAATGGTACATGAGCAACGATAATCGATAAACAATAAGCAATGAATGATGAATAACATCGATGATTATGATTAATGCTGATGACTCTGATAGATAGCCATAACAAGAGCAACGATAACCATAATGATAACCATACTTGTAGCAGTAATGATTATACCATCAATGATAAACTAACATCAGTTTTGATATGTTTTGATTAGATAAACCATTGTGAACTAAGCATCAGCATCACCTCCCTCGTACCTCGATCAGGTGGGCGACAAGATTGTGAATCCTGATGGCCAAGCGTACGAAATCCTGGAGCGTTTAGGTCATGGCACTTTCGGCCAGGCGCTCTGGGGCCACTTGGGTGGTTGGGTACCTGGGAATGGGTGCTGAGGGAAGCCAGGACTTTTTTTCCCGTAGTTTTTCAACCAGCAACTGGAACGTAAATTGCAAGTAAAGACTAGCACGTATTGTGAAATCGGGGGATTATGTACAGTCATATTATACTGTATGCACCATATATATATATATTATAGTTCTATGACAATTCTGTCAATCTTCCAACCCTGACGAAGTGCAGGAGTCAGTCCACTTAGGGGTCGAAATTGGCGACCTGTGACATCACTGGCATCCCAGGGCAGCCTGTCACAGGTTCTGAAGTGTCATCATGTTGCTTGCAATGGCCCAGTTGTGAGGAGCCCAGTATCATGCGGGACCTGCTTCTACATCTCTGTGGTTCCAAGATCGCATCGGAGAACCGAAGTGCTGGCGATTTTGTGTCCCCAACAAAGTGAAACAACATGCAGACCAAGTACAAAAATGGCATGCCAACATTCCAGTGGTCCAATAGCAAAAACAAATGAATCTGTTGGTTTCTTGGACCTGAAAAGAGCCAAACATGAGGTTTCAGGTTGACGGAGTCACACCGAAAAGATGCCATTAACATTGGATCCCCCTGTGAGATGTGAAGGCCTTGAAGATCATCAAGAACAAACCCGCCTACTTTCATCAGGCGCTCTCCGGCTGGGGATGTGGCAGGGGTTGCATCATGACCAGATGATCAGCGGTTCGGTGGGCTGATGCTTTGATGCTTTCAGGCATGAAACCTCGGAAGGTTTCCAACAAGCTGCTCACTCTTAATGAAATGGTCATGTCATCAAGTCACAAACTACGCGCCATTACGCTCCAATAAACACACATTGCAACTGGAAATCCCAGTCTCTTGGCATATGTATCAAATATGTATCAAATCATCTCCAGATGGTTCTCCAAATCGAGGATACCAATATATATATATTGTATTTGCATCCGGAAAATGTTGTGTTTCAAACATGTTCAAACCATCAAGTTGGCCGTCTGAGGGTTTCGCCTGCCGTGTGATGCGATGGGAACCCCGAATTCTACGACGACCCGCAAGGCCTTGGTCGAGGTCCGAATTCTGCAGATGTTGAATCAGGACAGGCAATGTGGCACTGGCCGCCAGATGTGGGTTTTTGCTCAAAGATGTTGGTGAAATCTCACAAGTCCAGGGGTTTGAAACCATACCATTTTCCATCGTTTCAGTACAAGCCCACGATGGGAATGATGGCAAGATATGGCAAGATATGGCAAGTAATTGTACATCCTTGTGTTGCAATTCACATCGTTCCGTTATGCTCCTGACCACCTCACGCCCAAGTTCAAAATTTAAGTCAATGGGGCCCCAGATCGGCTGCAGGAGTTCGACCAAGAGGATGACAAACGGCCTTTTGACGTGCAATTCTTCAAGGGCAGGGCATGTCCACGTCCCCCATCCATCGTACATGACATGTTGTACATTTATATATATAAGATGTACACATATAATCATATATACACGATGATTCGAAGTGAGGACCTCTCATGAACCTTGTGCTTCATTTGTGCAACAACGGAAGTACAAACGCGGCAATCTAAAATACACCATTTATCCCCATGTATAGATGTTTCTTTATTCCATAAACAAAACATTCATGGATATGTATGTGGAATTTCCCATTGCCATGTTTCATTGCCGGAAGGTACCAGTTTCCTGGCCAAACATGGCCCGATTTTCCAAGGATCGTGCGGATGTTGGACTTTTTCGTCTATAGGCTCTGGGGTGGCAGACTTGATTTGGGGGTTGGGGGATCACCTAGCTGGGCGGTGGGCTTAGAAGGACTTGGCTCCAAGATTGGATGATCATGACACAAACTCAAGAAATTTGACTTGAATGATGAATTTGACATAACTTGACTAAGATCTGGGTTCCATTCATTTGAGACGAACCACCACTTTTGAGCTGTGCCCAGTTTTCCTCCTCACACCCTTGTGTCCGAAGATGCTGAGTCCCAGCAGGAAGCACCTCTGCATTGCCTTCGAGCTGCTGAGTGTGAGGCTAAGGCTTTGTCCTGATTTATCCCAATGTGACTGTGGCACCAACACACAGATTTTAGATCTTTGTACGTACTACTGTAAACCTTCAACTTTTTGTAATTTTGGCCCAACAGGGTCAGATCAATCGAGGATTCATGATCCCGCAGTTTATTCATATAGGGGGTGCCATTCTTCATCTTAATTCATGACTTTTGAGTGTACCACCCCTGACATCCCCTGACTAATCATCCAGGGTCTATTCATCCCTTGTTATCCTTTGTCAACAGGGAGCATCCAAAGCCAAGCTATCATGTCCTCTTGAAATTGCGGCGAACTGATTTTTTCATCGGGATATGGCCAAAATTCTCGCTGATTTCAGCCATGTTTGATGGACAACTACAGGACATCATCCCATCTTTCTGCGACATATTGAGAATCCTCCTTTTGCTACTTCTGTGATACTACAGTAGTTGCAGATAGTTGCTGGTGATGCTCCCTATTTTGTTGGTGCTGTGGCCCCAAGTGGCCATCGCTGAGGTGTGAACCTCTATGAAGTTCTGAAACAGAACTCCTTCCGGGGTGTGCTGGACACCTAGAATATCCTAGAATCTTAAAGATCCTACAATAATCCACATTGACACCTAGAATATCCTACAATTTGAGTGATGATTTTCACAGCATCCAATTATCAATCTGGACAGATGGCCAAGGTCGATGGCTTTGATCCGTGTCCTCACCGATCAGCTTTTGAAGGCCGTGCGACGCGACTCCTCGAAGTTTTTTCAACTAAATTGTGTTTCAGCTATAGAAAGACATATGGGAAAACAATCAAGAATATATAAATACAATTTCATTTTTGATCTATATTATTATTCTTAGATTTTGGCTTGCAATGAATATAGATGGAAAGACATCTGGGCATGGAGAGTGATGTGATAGGGACATCCATTTGTACCAAGATTTTGCACATTACGCATTGTTGTTAAATTATGATAATTATGGTTGGCAGATAACGGTTGAGATAGGAATCTGCAGCGTCCTCCTGGATGAGTGAAATCAGGGCCATGATTCAACAGATTTCCTTCGATAGGTCCCAAAGACGACATCGACCATGGACAGAGGATGCCCATCAAATTGAGATAAATTGAGGATATAGACATATATATATATATATATACGTATATATAATATAATATATATATAGATTATCAGATATATAGATAGATATTGATTTATAGACATAGACTGATTGCAAAGCAAATTGGCCAGAGATCCGGCCAGGCATTGCGCTGCCTCCGAGAGGCGTTTTGGGGTGTGCCAAAATGCCAGATTTCTGGACATCGGATGGACATCTTTCAATGGATTATCATCCCTTTTCGCTATTCTAATTGCCATGAATTCAATTGAATTCAATTGAATTCAATTGAAATATATATATAAATTAAGGGGTTATACTATGTTATACTATGTTATACTATGTTATACTCCATTTTCATCCATTTTCAGATACATCCACATCAGATACGCCTCGCAGCCGACTTGGAGCTGCCTGGTTTTCAGGCCTCGGTGATCCACTGCGATCTGAAGCCAGAGAATGTGCTGTTGAGCCACTTGGCCTTGGGCGATGGGAGATCCCCGAACGAAATATGGAGGTTTTAACAGAAAATCATCTATAAATAGTGGATAAATAGTGGATAAATAGTGGATAAATAGTGGATCACAATGCATTTTCAATGATAATAGTTGATACTATAGTGGATAATACGGAATAATATGGAATAATGATAGTGGATTTTCATGGATTTAGCAAGGCACGTTTGATTTCCGGAGACCGTGGACTGTCCTGAGAGCCACCCGTGTTCCGCCAGGTAACATCCATCACACCAGGATCAAGTTGATCGACTTCGGTTCTGCCTGTTTCGAAAGCCACACCGTGGGCTCTCCTGGACAAAATCCCGACAGGGCGCCGTAAAAATTCAACTGGATCCATGAAGACTCAACCGTTGAGGATCCCAATTGATGAAAGACTTTGCAGGGACATGTTTTTTTTTTCTGAAACCTATGCCATCAGTTTATGGGATTTCAATCCTGGTCAGCCTTGCCAGCACAGTTCCGAGGTCTATCCCTATATCCAATCTCGCTTCTATCGTTCACCGGAGGCAACCTGTGGTGACCTATTCAGCAATTGAGGAATGCCAGCGCAACGCTTGCTTGAGACAGTTGATACAAGACATTCAGCCAGTTGTTGCAAAACATTCCAAACACTTAGCCAGACACAAGTTTTCGACCCACATGTTGCATCGGAAACAAACTTTCGGCGCTCTCGGTGCACAGGTGCTCTTGGGAGTTCCATACACAAGTGCCATCGACATGTGGAGTAAGGGCCACAGATCTTGGGTGCTTTGGGATTCATCTTGGAGCGGCTAGGCCGAAATCAAGGACGTAGGAACATGTTGGAACTAGGAAATGGGGGCCATCTCCTCACTAGTTGCTTCATGACAAACCTTCACCTCGACTGCTTGATCAGCATCTGAGGCTTGGGTTGTATTTGTGCAGAGCTTTTCCTTGGCTTGCCGGTCTTCCCCGGGCATTCGGAGTATGACCAGGCCGTTGGTCGAGCCATGAGAGCCATCAGTTTCGACCAACTGACTCGACTGTGATGCCAGGTCTGTCGAATGTGTGAGGTCCTTTGCTCAGTGACTTCAGAAACGCATGTGGGAAGTCTTCTCTTCACTGGGGCAAGATTTGTCGATTTGACTTCAACATGTTTTTTTTCTTAAACCATGTATCAGTAGGCAAGGAGTATAGACAGGTTGTTCGGAAGTCGTCGAGTTCAGAAGCCGACCATGAAATTAATAGTCCAGTTGTTGCAACCTTGACATCAACATCAACCAGAGACATCCAGCCAAGAAAGCCACCTGGTAGGTGCTGAATCTTCCGCCCACCAGCCTGCTAGATGCTGGTCGCAACACCAAGAGATACTTTCGAAAGGAGCGATGGCCATGGCATTCCATTTCACCCCATGCCTGCTTTTGTTTAGCGGATTCGATCCCCGTCTCTTAGGTGGATATGATAGATATGTCATTGTATGTCATTGTATGTCATTGTATGTCATTCTATACCCCTAGGCTGTTTGTACCGATCCAACCATGGCTCCCTCAAACCAGTTCTTTTCCCCAAGTCTCCATCCCCATCGGCACTTCTGAAACACTGATAGGAGGAGTTGAAGCTTCCAGAAGGTGCTGAAGGCGCCAACCAGCTGCTGAGGATATGCTGGGGGAAATGGCTAAAGATGTTACCGTGGGGATCCATGGGGATCCATGGGGATACTTATAGTAATAACATTTGAGTTTTAATCTGATGAGATGTAGATATGATATGATATGAATTGATATGATATGATATGATATGATATGTCACCATATGTCACCAACTGTTCAGCTGTGATTTGTGATTTGGTTCGTGGTGTTCAAAGGTTTTGAACATGGTCTTGTCTTCCGTTCTAGGACCCCAATTTCGCTACTATGTTTGGGATGGTTTGAATCCCCAAGCTAGTACAGGCACTGTTGGGCAATACCGCCCTTTTTTCACTGCAGGGTTACTGAGAGACTTGGTGGTTTCGCCTCTGCCGTCCTTGATTGAAACCGTCATTCTTCTCCTTTTGGATCCACGGATCCACCAAGGATCTTCTCAAATCATCCAGAACCACTTGGAGGGCCACTTCAAAGATCTTCGAAGACTCCCATATCTTCGTGGTGGAAACATGTGGAAATCCTTGGAAACATCTTTCCTCTTGAAACTCCTCTTGAAACTCCTGTGAAAACCATCCGTGACCTCCCAAGGCCGCAGCCACCTTGAATCCCGCCTCGTCAGGTCCTTCGACCAGCAGCGCGGATGGCGAGCAGGTGCGATGGGCTGCAGTTCTGTACAAAGCTTTTGGACTCAAAATAGATCAGATCAGTATAGGTCAAATCTCGCCCACCCTGGTTTCAAGACCAAGATAGTTGGCAAAGGATGGATGTTCATCCCACCATTCAGAACGGTCCCATGGGTTTCAAACATTTTCAAACTACATTTTGGATCATTTTGGATCATTTTGGTATAGTGGAAAGGGGTTACCGGCTTTTTCGAGGCTTTTCGTGTAAACCACGCCCCAAGCTCTGTTTGGAGACAGGATTAAGCTCAGCGAGTGGTGGCTGCAGTGGCTATATCCTGCCAGTTCGGCTTTGTTTTCCACAGCAGAATGTCATTTGCTGGCCACAATACTTTAATTGGATAATTGGGATGCATTCTCAAGCAAATTTCGTCTAAGTTGCTTCAGGCAATACACCCTCTACATAGACAGATGATGATAACGTATTTCTTAAGTTGTCCAAACATTCGTAAGCAAGTTTGCAAGAGGGAACGGGCCTACCCTCCTTGCGGCTAATCACTCAGGAACTGATCCTTTCGTCCCTTGAAGCTTCATTAGAAGGTATCTCCTCGCATCTCCTCGCGACTTTGGAACAGCTTGTTTGCGAATGGCGAAAGCATTGCTGATACTGTTGATGTTGGTCTCCTTCAAGTATGTAGGTGGTCGGTTACAGGGTGAAATGACTCACTGGCTGTAGATCTTCAGCGCAGGAGCTTCAGATTGATCCCAATGCTCAAGATGAACGGGAGCAGCACTCACAATCCAGTGGTTCAGGCTGGAGATTCAGCTGTGAAAGTCGAGTCAAAGTTGGCAGAATAGAACCATTCCAAGTCAAAGAGGTTTGTGGGAATATATGGGGATGGATCAAGACCTATTAATACTATTTTTAGTGGGATGAACATCCATTTACCAGCTATTTTGATGTTCACCAGGGGTACAAGGTTTTGACACACTGCCATATCCGAATATATCCTATATATTATATCGATCCAAAAGTTGATAGCAGGGGATGATCTCATGCTGCTGGATCTGATGCTTTTGGCTAAGTGGCGTTAGCATGACACCACGGGTGTCATGCTGATAACGGTTATGTGACACATGATTTTATCTCAACGTGTTCTTCATTATTTGCAAACTCAATTAATTAAAAGATGCGAATACAATAAACTTTCAAGTTCCATTCATATGTACGATCGTTGGGTTCAATCCTTCATATGCCATCATTATCTCAGTCAAGTACCCATTCTGGATATTGTACACCATCGTTATATATCATTATCCTTTATGTCCCGTCATTCTCATAATCCATTAATTTTGATGATTTAATATCCCGTCAGTATCCATGATTTTTTATTTGCAGAGCATGTACCAGCCATGTGCCCATTCAGGTGAAAGCGCGAGTGAATCACGAGATGCCTGGCCACGAAATGTGGGCCATTTCTTTGGGCATCGATGAGGATGGGGATGGGTGAAAAAACAATGAAAAAAACAATACTTGTAGATTGATGATCATAAATAAATTACCATAGTGGGATATAGTGGGGACGATCTATTGGAAAAAAAAAGAAGTCACAACTAAGAATACTATTATGTTTTGTAAGTCGATGGTTGTAATGGCTGGCTCTACAACCCCTTACCCACTTCGCATTATCCTTCATCCGTGAAATGTGACTCCCCATTCAGAGTTATGTGTTTGACATTTTTGAATAGGGTTTTAATATGTTTTAATGCTGCTCAGGGAATGGGGTCAAACGTTTTTAAGACCTATGGCACTATGGTATTCGAGGGGATGAACATCAACAGGATTCCAGGATTTTCACCCAATCCGACGTATGACTTCATGCGAAAGATTCCCCGTCAAAAACTTCCCCGAAATTCAAAGGGGCTTGATCATGGACGTGCATCTCTTACTAGAGCACTCTGAGGCTCAAAGTATACAACTTTATGCAAATCATCACGAGTGTAAGTCTCCAAGTGGAGTTTTGGGGCACTGGATTTTTTTCTTTCCCAACCCAAACGCAAGCTATTCATGGCTATTTTCCGTTCCCAAGGCGCGCCCTGAAGCCGAAGAAGTTTCAGCACCTCCGGTGGTGGAGGACGGATATGTTTTTTGTTTTTTTTTGGAAGCGCCCATATCCATGAAGATCGTGCAGGGTGGGTTGTATAATGTTTGTATGATATGTATGGTCCATTCGTCATATTGTGGTTGTACAAAATAATTCTACATAAATTCATGTTTTAAGTAGTTCCCGAATTGGTAGACATTTCTTTAACATTATGTTCGGTATCTCAATGTATGGAACACATACGGAATATCAACCAACACGACCGAAGCAAGACACGCCATGTCCTTTGTTGATTGCCCCTCAGTGCATTCACATGCTGTGTGAACTATATATATATTTATACATACTGAGTACATATTGAATATTAAACATTAATGATCATTAATGAACCACATATAATGTACATTCAAATATGAACATCGTTTCTATAGTGGTTTCAAAGTGAATTGCAGACTCTGCAACTCCTGAAGAAGCCACATGTTTCTCTCCAGGACGACTCACGCGTCTACGTGGTCTCGGGTGCTGGCGGTGTGGGCAGCCCTTGCAATGGCGAATACCGCCGTGTGAGAGAGCTGAATGACAAGCCCTTGCAGCTCGGTCAGACTCGGTGACGAATTCATGGGGTGTCACGATGGGCTGAAGCTCCTCATGTTACCATCGGAATATATCGGACTTTTCCAGCCCCCAAAGGCCCAAAGGTATTTGGAATTGGGAAAAGTCGCCAGATACCTTCTGACCTCCAAGAGTGATGATAAAGCTTATGTTTGAGACTAGGTACACACCTGAATCCCTTATCAGCAACAAAGATATCCTGTAACTCATGCCTTTGCCTGGTTCTTCAAGGTTCTGCAGGCCTCAGTTGCAAGCTGTAAGTTGTAAGTATTACCCTCCATAAATTCACATAGCTATGGAACACGTCCCATTTATAGATGAACTATATATCTATTGATATCGATTAAACATTATGATTTTCGATAATTATCTTATATTTTGTTAAGTTATATAGCAGGGTAAAGGGCACAATTACTGCCTTCAATGATGTTCAAGGCTTCAATCAACATCTGAGGTACAAGAAAACTGGTGGTGACGCCATCATCTACTTCAAGTTCCGGTAGGGAGTCTGAGAGCTACGGGGTGCAAGTGCTGTAAACTTATGACACAACGAGCGTGGTGTCACTGCAATGCGATTGAGGCTGGTGATACAGTAGAGAGCACGTGCAAGACAGGCTTTTTGAGATTGAAAGTACGTAAGTTTAAGAGCTCCACCGTGCAGCAGAAATGAATCCACAAGTGAGAAAGAGTTTGATGTTGCATGGCCTCGGCTGAACACGTACTGGGTAGTATCAGTTCCAGCATCAAGGACCTAAAAGTTCTTGGTTTGACATGTTCGACAGTGACGTAAAGTGAGCAACAAAGACAGCAAGGCAATTTCTTCATCAACCTGTGCACTCGTAAGCCACCTGACCTAGTGAAGTTGAGGTGGAAGATGAACGCCCGCGACGATACGCGGGGCTGGTACTACATGGCACCTGAAAGATCAGCAGCAACGCCGCCTGAAGGCTGAGATGGGGCTGTTTACGCAGGGCATGAATGCAACTTGTTTCATTTGTGAAAGAATTGCAGGATCTTCACTGGCCTTTGATGCCTTTGATCCAGTTGGTTTTCAAGAAATCGACCTGATCCACTCGAAAGCTAAATCGAGCTCTTGTTTTTCTTGCCCATGTCGAATGAGTCGAATAGTGTCGAATGCAACAGGTCAATGGACCACAGAAGCATATTCCAAAGATGATGCCAATCCAGCTCCAGTGGTCTCCACATACAAGGCAGGTCTGACCTGGTCTGACCACCTGCGGCGAAATCGGTGGCTTAATTTGATCCATCGTATATCACACCTCTCCATCATTGTTGGTTATTGGATTGGATTTTCATTCGGAGTGCGCTACTTTTTTTTTTTATTTTCAACATCATGTTCTAGCTTTAGTTAGATAAATAGTGATCAATGCGACTATTGCATACTATATTCTTGGATATTGTTAGCTTCTGAGATGGCGCAAGTTTCGCAGCACCACTGGCGTGAAGCTGTGGCACCATTAATGGTGGCTTCAACGCCTATGGAATTTTCCGCAAGAGCTGAGGGATTCGCATCCGTTTTGATCCATAGCCATAAGGTTGGTTATACACAATATATATATATATATGTATATATATAATATATATATATATGATACCAGGATTAACATACAAAACATATCAAACACGAAACATGACGAGCTTTTCTGAGTTCATAGGCCTGAAGTGCCCATATGATACATCAGGTCCCGAAGATCTTTTAGGTTTGAGCTGCAAAGAGGGGGTTCTTGTGTCACTTAATCGTTCATTTCAGTGTTGTTTGTTTAAGTGTGTTTTCTTGCTTGTTTGCTTGTTGGCCTGTTTGTTAGTTTGCTAGCTTGTTAGTTTTTCACTTACTTGTTCATATAACTTCATATCAGTGTTTTTGTTTGACTTCAATAGGACTTTTGATCATCTCTTGATATCCTGTGTGACTCCATATGATGTGAGCACTCGGAGGCCAAAAGTAGCTTTCTGGATTTGCTGAAGCATCGATTAGGCGCGGCTGGCTGTCGTGTCGCTGTTTCGATGGCTGTTGTGGATATTTCAGCCAAGGAGGTTTCCTAAAATGGGGGTTATCCAAAAATATACTGGAACATCCTATTAAAATGGATGATTTGGGGGTACCCCCATTTTTGGAAACCTCCGTTTGACCTTCCAGAAAGGACGCCCCGATGGGGAAGATTCAGGGAAGATGATCGAAGATTTCACAGGATTGACCGGAAATCATGGTGTCTACGATTCGGACATTTTCATATGGAGGGGTATCCTTTTTGGGAATTTATCATAATTTACAGTATCTATTTTTCATTTTGCGAAGTTCACATTTCCTCGGTTTGGCTTTTGGTTTCTGGCTTTTTGCTTACTGGACAATTTAATAAGTAAGTAGTAGTAAGTTTAGATAATTTTCAATTGAAATTTAAATTGCATTTCAATAAAATCTTGTCAATTAAGAATTAAGTTTAAATTGATGTTGATTTGACTATATTTTTCATACATAGTCTTAAGTAAATTCTAAATGAAATGACAATTGATTGAATATTGAATTTACATCAATCTCAACTTAGCTTAAGCTCAAACTAACTCAAAGTTGATTCTAAACTAAAATTAGATTAGTTTATAATCAAATCCAACTAATGGTTACCCTTCAATAAAATCGAAATCAGTTTTAAATTGACTTTAAAACACTTTTAAATTCCCATCTATAAGTCAAATATTAAATCAAGTTTAAATTAAATTTTAAATTTTACCCAATTTAGTCTTAATTTGAATGTAATTCAAAATCAGATTGAATTGAAGTTGATTTCACATTCAATCTAACAGAATTTCTAAATCAACCCAAATTGATGTTACATAGAATTTAAATCAATGTTCAATTTTTTCATCAGCTTCAAATTACTGTAAATATCAAAAAGCATTTAAAGTGAATTGAACTTACGTAGTTCTAAATTAAGTTCAAACTAAGTTCGAATTACTCTTAAGGAATGCTAAAGTATCAGTTTCAACTTAGATCGAAATGCCTATTTGAATAGATTTAAAGCTTAGGCTTAGTTCTAACTTGATTTTGAATTGAATTTGATTTTTCTTTCAAATGAAACCTAAGTTAATTTCAAATTAAATCTAAGCGACTCTTAGCTTAAATCTGGATTAATTTTAACATTTTAAACACACAAATAGATGAATGCCAGTTGTGCCACCAACCAGAAAAGTCAGATAAAGCAAGGGGAGAATGAAATTCAGCAACTCCCAGACCCAAAAGAAAGAATATTCCTAAAATGAGAACACGAGTTCCTCGCAAAAAAATGCACCCATATCATATTTGCTGGACACATCCATTATCATTACCAGCATATATATGATTACCAACCATTACAAAATATGATTACCAACATGTTATTATGATATACCATTTATTACCAACATATAAATACCACTATTATATGATTTATACCATTTATATACCATTTTTATACCATTTATATACCATTTATATACCATTTATATACCATTTATATAGCATTTATATACCATTTATACGTTATTATACTTATTATGATTACCAACATATATACCACGCATTTTACCATTTTGCTGTGAAAACACTAAGGCATCCATGCGGATGATGGAGAAGCTTGGCGATTTAGATAAGCCAGCTCCACTGTTGTTGGC